AGGGCCAAAATCTCAAACCTGAACAAAGCCGCGGGCCAAGATTCAACAAATGAACCTTTTAATGTGGAATAAAACAAATTTTGCTTTAACATTGAATATGGAACAAGCAACTCTCATTACATTCTATATAACTTAATAGTGGAGACATGCAAAATCCAATTTCAAATAAAAAACACATCAATGGCATTCATTTATGAAAGAAAATTTTAAAACATTTTTCTATTCGCATTCTTCTGAATTAAATATCAAAATTAAATTTGCTTGTGCAGAAAGCTCCTTTTCCTGCCTTTCTTTTGGTCATTTTTGGGAAGCAGCACAGTGACAGCTGTAGTGTGTATCTACTGTCCCAGAGGAGTTTCTGGGTCCTGTCCTGAACAACAGCAGAGCATTATGGGAGTTGTAGTATGAGCGGTTAATGCACTGTACAGTATAAAGCTTATGCTTCATCCTACTCCTTTTTGAAACATGATGCATGTTTATGAAGCATTCTATGTAAACATTGTTAAATCATATCATGTTTCAAAATAAATTAAATGAAAAATTAAATGAAATCATTTGGTATTGTCTCGCGGGCCAAATATAATTACAACGCGGGCCAAATCTGGCCCTCGGGCCAGAGTTTGACACCCCTGCTTTAAAGCCTGATCCAAGAAAAATAGGAAGAATATTGGATTTTTTTAGTCTGGAGTCTTTCTTTGGCCCCTCAACAACATATGAAGATAAAAAACATAAATTATTTTGATCAAATTAGCATGCAATAAGTCACAAATATATGTTGGTGTATGTCTTCTACTGGCTGTTATCAGGTATATCTGAATGTGTACAACAGGGGTTTGAGCAAAGCTTTTACCACTGAATGATGCAGAAAGTCTCTGATCCAAAAGACTTCAGAAACCGGATCAGATATGACACATTTGGCATTATAGGGTTAATGGCCGTGTTTGGTGACTTTAGGATGTCAGTAAATGGAGCTACTCTACATACCGATTAGAATATTTGTTCAGCAAAAACTCACGTGTTCAAAGCGTAAGCTAGGCTCACCGGAGCCGTCTACAGAATAAACCTCAACGGTTCCATCGTCCCGGCCCACCAGGACGTCCTGCACTCCGTCTCCAATTATGTCAAAAGTGTCAATGCAAAGGATTCCTGAAGAAACATCGAACACAGTTATCAATCAATCAATCAATGTTTATTTAGACAGCACTTTACAACAGCCGGAGCTGACCAAAGTGCTTTGCAGAATAAAAACAGATCAAACTATCGAAATATACAAAGACAAATACATTGACAGAACCCAGTATACAGAGAATTTACGAGCAAAAAGCCATTCTGAACAAATGCGTTTTAAGGTGAGCTTTGAACGGAGGCAGGTCAGTAAATGAACGTAACTCAGTGGGCAGAGAGTTCCACAGTTTAGGTCCTGCGACTGATTACCGATTATGAGAAATTAAATCTGGCACTGACGTCCTCGTTTCCAAGAATCAGCTCGGGTTCTTAGAGACGGCATGACTCAGCATCTCCTTTTTGGACGAGGAAAAGAAAAAACCAAACCCACTGAATGGTGAACAATGAATGAACCATACCTCCTTTTCTTTTGTCGTTATCGATCTCCCATTTAGTGGCAGCGGAGCTCTCATCAATCTGAATCAGTCCAATTTTTCCATCCGTGGTTCCATAAATAACTTCCTCAGCTGAAAAAATCATTGACATCATTATACTTCAAGTTTTAGTACAAAAATAAACAAATACAAAAACAAAAACTCACTCACCTCCTTCTTTGTTGTACAACTCCAAGACAGATGGAGGCCCAGGGACTTCAATGTCATAGGCAAGTTTAGATCCCTGCATCCAAAGAGAAATAAACGATAGATGGTAAATCTGTGTGTAAATCTACTCATCCAAACGGGAGACTAAACATGAGCCCGTTTCACCTGCAAGACCCTGAGAACCCGATCCTGGCAGGCCAAGACCGGGACGGGTCTCGAGAGTTTCTCTGAAGACAAACAGGTGATGTCGTTGATTTTGTCCCCTGAGAGGAAGTAGTCCTGGTCCTTGCAGTCGCAGTAGTGGTTGTAGATGTAACTCGCACACACGAAAAGATCCGATCCGGAAACATGCCTGAAAAGGAGAGAGGCAGAAAGTTCTCAGCAGGTGGAGGTTAACAGCTTTTCTCTTATGGACAAAAACTCAGAAGGAGGCTCCTACATGGCGTTGATGCTCTCGGTGAGGTTGGCTTCAAAGGTGAGGAACTGTTTCCCTTTCTTGGTGAATCCTCGCACCTGAGAACCAGAACAGACAAAGATCTTCTCCTGGGACGTTCCGGCGGCACCTCCCAGGTCCATCCTCACTATCTTCTGCCCGGGGAGCGTTTTAAACACGGGCTAAAATAGAGAGTTGAACTCATTTAATGATGAAACAATAAGTAACATCTGGAAAACAAACAGAAAACCTCCACTCACCACCGCTTCGCCCTTCTTCATCCCAAAACACGTCAGGATACCATCGTGATCTGCAATGGCGACCTGAAAGACAGAAAATACCACAACCCGGCATGACCTTTGACCTTATGTTTGCTTTCTAGCCAGGGTTATAAATAATATGGATAATGTTTGTGTAAAGACCCCTGACTGCTACACATACTTTGCCTAATGTAAAATAAAGCCAGGGAATGGCTGCAGGGAGGGTCTGGAGACTTTATTTTTGAGAGGTTGAATAGCTTTTACAGATAAATACCTTCTTTGGCTCTTGTGTTTATCAATATTTCTTTAAAAAAGAACTATTCCAATAATTAATGTCTCGGGAAAATGCAAAAATTCAATATGTCAAACTAAGGAATCAATCAACAACTTAATCAACACACCTGTGAGCACAGGCATTACCTTTTGTGTGGCCTTTTTTCCCAAAGCTGGAAGTAGCCTCATAGTTTTCTGGGATGTGACTCCAACCTGAGAACACAGAGCAGAGATAAACAAGATTTAAATTCACCTAAAACCTGAATCAGGTTAGATTTAATGGTAAGTACTAGTGAGCTAAACCCAACATAAGAGTGTAAAACATCTAAAAGTGCTGTCCAAATCTTATACTAACGGTCTAACAGTTGACAGTTGTCTTCTTTTTTTTTTTTACCTGCATATAATCAACTCTGTTTAGGTGGATCTCCATCTTCTTTTTCTGCTGATTTTATATTCTGGGAAAGCAGGATGCTAATCTCCCTCATAGGTAACTCAGTCAAACGGCGAGTGACGGTCCGCGGCTGAAAATCTGAATTTCGGATGAATTACAAGAAGAGGACGATGTCGGACAAACCAGGGATTACTTTAAGAAAGGAGATTAGCTAACCGTGCTAGCGGTAAATTGCCAGCTTGGTGGCTAACACGATTAAGTATTAAGTTAGCGGCCAGCTGTCTCCGTTTATGACCGGAAGTCTTCTTTCAAATATCTACGGATCGATATCAAACACCGGGGAGAATCTGTCATTGTTATCTGTCATAATTGTTACGTTATCCGACGCGAATATGAAGCTATAGCCATCTTTGCCACAATCTGGGAGTCAGTTGACTGTTGCCATGGGTACGCGTTCTACAAGCTGTGATTCTATTGGATGATTGGCAAGGAACGATTCAACTGAAAGCTGATAGGCTGGATTTTTTTTTTTTTTTTTGCTTTCTGTGATTGCCATCAATGAGTTCGACTTTTATAAATGAAAAAAAGAACCATTTATCTTTTTAACTGGTTTACTTAATATTTTTATTCTTGCCATAAAAATGTGGTACGTTTGTAGGCATATAAGCACATTAAACATGATAAAAAACAAAAAAAAAGAGTGAGCATTAAACAGGCAATATGGAGCAAAATAAATGAACATAAATTTAAAACTGCTCTTTAACTGAAAAACAATTTCAAGATGCATTCAGAAGGATGACATGCACTGTGCAAATCATTTCAAATCTGGATCATACAGCAGAATGTCTGGTACCTTAAAATGTTTTTAAAAATACAGCAAATATTTTCGCAGTTTAACACCTATTTGAATCACAGGTACATAAGTCTGTACTTTTAGAAAGAATCCGGTGATGGCATCGATACAAAAAAATAAAACTAAACAAACAAAAAAACATTCAAAGTCAGGCATTTAGACAAATTATAACAGATGCTGTGGGGAACAGAAATGATTCAGTGAAATTTTAAAGAGAAAGGACATGAAGACAATTATGTAGAAGCACATTTTAGTTAAGTTATTAATCTCAGAATGTTAATATTTTTCATAAAATAAACTATTCAATGAATAAATAATGACATGAAAGGAAGAACAAAAACTGCCGAAACACAGACTGCCGCCGACGTCAGCCGTGCTCTTCGGTGAACGTAAAAAAGTCAGAGCATCCGCCGTCTGAGTGAGGTCACCCTACCAGGTCAGGAGGAGAAGCGTCACCGGGAGATTCAGTGAGATTCAGTGCTTTACCGGCTCTTCTTCAGCTGTACTCAGGAATACAGAAGAGTCGGAGCTCAGACTGTAACGTTGACATTCAACACAAAGTTCTTCCACTGATGGCAAAGTCTGTCCCCATCACAGTTTAAGTCATATCTTACATAGCTGGAAAATAAAAACAGGAAGAAAACGAGAAAGGAGAAAACTAAGAGATCAGACTCCGGTGGGAGCCAGGCGGCTGATGAAGGCGATGCTGCTGAGGCACATCCTCCTGAAGAAGGCGGGGCAGGCGGGCTTCATGATGAAGTGCTCCAGAAGAATCCGCAGCTCTGTGAACAGGGTGCTGCGGTGGGGGGGGGGGTAAAAGAGGATTTAAGTTGTCGAGCAAATCTTAAGTTTGCTATTTTACAACAACGGAAAATTCTAATGTACTAAAAACAACATTTCAAGGGGAGACCCAAGGTTGATTTATAAACTAGTAATGAAATGGTTCTTTTGGCTTTGCATCAGTTCAGACTACAGGAATCAGGTGCATTCCTCATTAAACACTGAAACCAGAAGAGTAACAGGCACACTAGTAGCAGCTTTAATAGAAAAATAACCAGCACACTCCTGGGGCCAAACAAAAGGGAGCTGCAAACGTCTCTGCATGACTTATTATATTTAGCATATCATATTTAAGACTAATTAAAATCCTCAGTAGCTATTACAATTCAGGCTCTTTAGGGCTCTTTCTGCATGACCTTCAGCTTGAACATTTGGCCTTATGGATCTCTGGACAGTATTCCCACGACGCCTTACCGGCAGTATGGATTTCTTCTGGATGTGTAGCGGAGGGTGAGGAATCGGTAATAAATAAAGGGCAGCAACAGGCTTCCCTGACCACTGAAAACAGGACAGAAATTGTAAAGTTTTGACTCTGCTGTATAATGCTGTACATATTAAATCAAACTGCAACAACAAATAAAGAAGATGGAGTATAATTAAATGCTGTGTTACTAAATATCTGGCATTTGTTGGTTTGAATTTAAGAGGCAGAAATAACAGGAAACATTCAGTTCTTCCACCAGACAGATAATGGAGCAGATAGTTAATCTAATCTAAGATTAACAATGTTCAGTGTCTGTTAACCAGCGGTGAACATACCTGAAGAGCATGAAGACAGTAGCAGGCATTAAGAAAATCTCATTACAGGCAATGAACTTCAGTATGTTTTGCTGGTTGGCCGATAGTTTGTCCAGAAGGTTTCTGATGAACATCAGGCTGCTGGGGCCCATAGACTACAAGAAAAACACCCCATTAGTCAGAGAAAACAAAAATCCCATGGAGTAAACACAAGACATCATTCCAATGTTGATTAGCTTTTATGCAGCTTGTGGGCTGGATTTGGCTCTCGGCAGCGGCTGGTTAATCAAGCAGAGACCAGAAATACAATTTAGCTCCTGCTAATGGTCATACTGGGTGCTACTCTGTGTTTAGCTAATTGCTACCTGGTAATATACAAACAGACAGCAGATGATCAGCTCCTCGTACTCACATCAAGAACTTTCTTTGTGTAGGTAGTCGCATGAAGCAAGGAAAACAGGAAAACTGGGAAGATGCTCACTGGACACCAAGGTTAAAGATCAACACAAATATAAGGACATTCATGGGAATTGTAATATGAAGCTTTTGTTTACAATTAATGTTTACTGCTCTTGGAGGACCATAGCCATTTTTTAGGACTTTTTTTCTATTTTTTTTTTATAACAAGCTCCAAAGCAAAAACCTTTGACTATCAACCAAGTAATAGCCACAAAAATGTGTCCATTAATCTTGCTCCCATGGACAAAAAAAAGAAGATTCCAGTCCTTAAAACTCAGAATGTCTCAAAACAGCATCATCAAGTAATCGTCGACTTTCAGAACTGCTGTGTTGTGCTTGGTTGGGGTTTAGTTTAGTTTAGTTTTATTAGGATCCCCATTAGCTACCAAATAAATGGCCACTAGTCTTCCTGGTGTCCTCACATGAAGAAATTATATTACATAATAAACAGATCATAAAAATAAAAATCAGAACATAAAACAAGAGTAGACTATACAACATATACACACAGGTCAGTTCATGTTATCATTTGCAGTAGGTCTGAAGACAGTATATTATTTAAGCTTGTTCTGTTCTGAACTGTTCGTGTGGTTATTGGTTCCAGTGAAATATGGCTCTATAATGTGGATTTTAGAGAGTTTGTTCTGGGTCGAGGGAGTTTAAAGTCTCCACCTCGTGCCCGCTTTGTTAAGTAATTATGATTTTGTTCAACAAGGACCAAGTGTTCAGCAAAAAAATGAGGGCTGTTTTTTAAAGAAAACATTCCATTTAAATAAGAGAATTCTTAATTTAAGTTTATACGTTACTGTTAACCATGAAAGCCGTCTAGTGCATTGAAGCCACATTTGTTCTCTGTGAAAGGATACTGGTTATGGGGTAGGAGTTGACCAGGATGAGGGAGTAGAGCAGGTAATGGCAGCTGTCCTCCTGCAGAGCCTGGGCCAGGAAGGCTCTGCTGAGCTGGAAGCGAGGAAGCCTCTGGTGTAGCCGCAGAGCGCTGGTGAGTGCGTTCGCCAACAAGGCTCTCTGATAAAAGTTAGCTGCAGCATACGGCCTGTAACATGCAGACAGAGACAAGAGTTATAGTTTCTACTTATACCTGATAGTTCAGACTAGTTAATTGTCTTTAATTGTACATATTGGCTGAGAGAACTCACCCCAAGACCGGTAGGATGAACATAACTGAGCAGTAGACTGTGAAGAGACGAGAAAGCCACATGGCCGTTTCCAGCTTGTTGCTCATTAGAAATTGCTGTGTGGACAAAAAAAAAAGCAAAATGAAAAGATTGTTATAGAATTGAAAAACGAAACTCACAGAATCATGAATGACAGAGCAATTTAGATGCTACAAGTCAATGAAACTAATAGATTTCCCTCTTTCCAACGCAGCATGTTAAAATCTGCCAATTTGTAAATGTAAAAGAAGTTAAACAACTGCTGTAAAAGGCACTGGGACATAGAATGGAATAGAAATGTCTCATTATTTTTCCAATCTATAGAACATTTAATTTCTTAGATCAATATATTTAGCTGAGTTAAGTAAATCCAAACAAAAGATAGGAAAATCTGAAAGATTTTTTTTTTTCCCCAGGGATTTACTCTGACAAAGAACACATTCACCTAAAAATACAGAAGCCTAATTCTGTTAACACGTTTAACACAGCATGAGGGACTATTGTAATCACAAAAATAGACCATCTTTCAATAAAAGGTGACTCTACTATACATTTGTTAAGAGGATAAGACATACTTTCTGTTCCATTACTACTCTGTAGCGACTCCATCGTCTCACATGGACTGTAAAACTGGTGTCTGTATCCATTCATAAAGAAACCATTTACAGCAGCCTTTCAACTTAGTCTACATGTGTTGTGTTTGTGGGAGATATTTTTAATCAAACCTCACCACTGTAAGAGGTATGAACGCCACACAGTCGTGGAAGAACAAGAGTGGAAACCCCTTTTTTAAATGTACTGTTAAAATATGTATACATATATATATTCTATTACTGGCTAGCACAATGGGGGAGTGTTTAATAAACATTCAGACTATGGTAATTGACAGCAGTATTGTGTGTTTCAATCAGCTCTGCCTTAGCTCAGCTTCAGTAGGAACACAACGCAGTGTTTACTGAAGCTTCTGCAGTCAGTGCAACACAATAGGGATTTTCATTTTCATAATTTCAGGAAATAATTCCAGCACCGGCTATGACCAGCCAGGCATGAAATGAGATATTGATTTTGGATCATCAGAAACAGAAAGAAATGGGAAAGCTTAAGCGGCTTGTGACAGGCGAGAATATAAGCTATATGTTTTGGTTTAAAACTGCATCAGTGAAAGCCTAAATCACAGAACATGGCAGTATGAATACAGAGGCACTTCAGCCTAGATGTCAGGTTTAAAAAAATAAAATAAATTAATGTATTTGTAATTTGGACATGAGGTCTGGGGGGATAAGGGGTAACTTACCACAGGCCCAAGCTGGGCAGGGGGGGGTTGTTGATTTGTGTCAGCCATCTTTCAGAATGGGGCTTCTCTAAAGGAAGATAAGAAACATTACAAAATATTAACTCTTGTTAAGCACAATTATGTGTTTAATTTGTTTTTACAAAGAGATTCTAATTACACAGATATTCAAGTGTCTCTTGTCATAATGATTCAGCAATTTACAGGCATTTGTCAGAAGATTTCTTGAAAAAAAATAAACTCAAGGCTTCACATATGGTCGAAAATCTAATTAGATGATACCATTTACATGTAAAGTAGCTTAATGGTTTCAATTCTTTCTTTAGGGATCAAATATGTTAATAAACACCACCAAAGATAGTTTTAAGCTTTAGCCCCATTCATTCATTATGGTTTACTTAAATATGACATTTCATATAAAATATTGACCCCAACATGATTTTCGTCTCCATAGAGGGAGTACAAAATAAGAAATAGCAACTGATTCACGTCCTTATGTCGAATATTCTGTGGACCAAGCAAGTTAGCTAGGTGAATAACTAATATGGCCTAAATTACTATGAATGACTAACTAACTAGAACTGGGTATATTATAATGTCAAGACAGAATTGAAGCCAATTGTAAAGGATAGACAACACCACTATTTAATCGATCTTAAAACAAATTCATCTCGCATTAGCAGCAGGTGAGTCTAGAATATTCTGTTGCCATCGTTACTAGCTTTCTGCTACCTCCTTGCTAACGTTAGCTAAATAGGCTTTTTCTATCCACTGCAGTGCTAATACACCGGCTAACTTTGGCCATCCGGTCTGTGTTGAAACGACTTCACGAAAACGATACGAGTTGTTGATACTATGTGGAGAAGCGGCCAAACGTGTATCTTACCGGTGCTACAACGTCGAGCAATTCCGTAGCGTGTTAGCTTGAACGAGAGAGGTAGATGCTAGTCACTCTTATACTGTAACTGTAGTAAATGATCAGCTGACCTTCTAAAACCAGTTCCCGTGTTACCTCTCGCGATATCTTAAAGAGACAGCCAAGGATGACGTAAAACACGTGTTCGTCTATATTTTATTTTCTAATAATATATATTATATATTATATTCTAATAATATATTTTATTGATATATATAGAAATATATTTCCATACATATGAATCTACAATAATTTCTTCAGAATGCAGGACAGGTTGTAAGATGGAAAAACAAACACAAACGTTTCTTTCTTCATGTTTTTCTAAAAACGTTGCTCGTTTTTAAAAAATATTCACTGTTCTTTGTCATAGACGTTTTATCAGGTACAACTATTAGTTGGTTCAATACCCGCAGCCTTTTTTTTTTTTCTATCAGTACTTTACTGCTGCATTGTGAATTAAAGCTTTATTACCACAAGAGGGCGCACTCGACTAGACCATCCCATTACTGCAGGTTGGCCTATAGCCTGGCCAGGATAATTATTTTAGCTTTAAGTCTACCTTATTTGGTCCCAACATTTTTTAAAATCTTACATCTGACTTGCACTGTTGCGCAAACATCTGCAGATTATTGACATGGGTGTCGCGGGGTGATGTGTTTGCTGCAGATGCCATTTGAAAATATAGGCAGTGTAAGCACTGTAGAATCTAATTATTTCTTTGCAAAACCTAATTAGGCATTAAAAAAGGTTAACGCCAGCGCCTGAAACGTTTTTGTTTAATAATCCCATTACTGCCGGCTCATCATGTATAAAATGGTGCAGGAGGACACTAACTTTCCACTTGTTAAAGGGAATCTCTGAGAAATAGTCGCAGATTTTTTGACACTATCTGCGATTGGAAATTAGAGTTTGTAAATAAACTGCGGAGACTCAGCTCAGCTCAACACAGAGTAAGTAAGGCTGCAGAGCCCTGCCTGCTTTGCATGTATTTCCTTTGTTTAACTGCTGATTCTTTCTGCAAAACTATCTAAAACTGTCTTTTTGTTCGCATCGTGCTGTATAACTGTTTGCATCCTAGCCTTTTCTCGACACGTTTGGCTCACTCTGAGATTAGACGGTGATTATTATTTTTCTTAAAGCGTCAGCTCCTCTCGGACCATTAACAGTCACTGGAGATTTCAAGGTGAGAATTTAAATGAGACATTTTCTGACCGACTTTCAATTTGCCTGAGGTCCAGAGGGAAATAAGAGATTTTTTCCAAAAGAAAAATGCCCCAATATGATGAACATATTTCGATGGTTTGGCGACGCTGTTGAAAAGATTTAAGCATCGTTTTTAAGCTCTATATTTCTGGATCGGAGGAGAGGCTGTTACTCTATATTTCATTGGTTTAAAGCATTTTACTCCCGAACAAAAAACCAAATCAAAGATCATGTTTTATGTCGTCTGAGAATGTTACAGCATTTACATTCACATCACACTTTACATTACATCATTACATTTTACATGTGGAATTCATCCACATTTAGCATTACAGTATTTTCACGCGTCACCAGAGAAAATTTTTTATGTTTTATTTTAATGTTTTATTACTACTGACCGTCTCTAACACGAAATAACGCTCAAAACGGTCAGAGTTAAGATAATTCCTCTAAATAAATGGCATAAATGCTATCCAAAAGGGGGAGAATGTCATGATAAATAACAGTTTTTCATTTGAGGCCTGTTTGTTAACCTCTGATATTAAATAGTTTATTTAAATGAACTAAAAAATAAAAGTTGCAATGTTTAATTTAGGTATTTTCAATTGTCCCTTTGACGACTAAAGTCTGTCAGTCACGTGTTTAGTCCATTTATTTAACAAAGCAACATGCGTATTTTTAAACGAACAAAAAGGATTCCGTTCTCACTTGTTTGAGTCTTTAATCTCCTTAAATCGAAGCTTCTCCATCGACATTTTTAAAGAACAAAAACACTAAATAAAGGACTGGGAGTGAGTGACACACCAAAGCGAAAGCCCTCTATTTCTAAAGGGAATAAAACGCCCGGCTCAGACTGGAAAAAACAAACAGGGCCTGGAAAAAGAGGAAAATCGGGACAAGCGAGGAAGACGAGCTGAAGAAAGACAGGAAGCAGAAAGAAAGGATACGGTGAATTTTCCTCAGACTGGTTAAAGAAAGAGAGAGGCGCGAGACGCCCTTTGATCTCCACGGTGCGCACGCAGGAATTACAGGTTTTAAATTATGGGATCATTTTTTATCTGAGGCTTTAACATTATTTATTTTTGTAGATATCTGTTTTTACAGTTGTAAAATGAAAACAGAAACACGTTCAGATGTTTAAAACACGACAAAAACAAATACAAATTGAAATATTAGTTTGTTTAAATGGCAAATGAGAAGATACAAAACGCAATTTAAAGCAATATTCTGCACGCGCATGTCCGGATGAGGCTTATTGTCACACTGATCATTTCAATCTCCGTTTTCAGGAAGATAAAATATAGATTTGTTGCAGATTTAGGTTAGATTTTTCTTCGGTAGATTTTCTTCCGGATGCTCCGTTTCCTCCACTCATCGCAAGAAAAAACACACACACACACACACTCTCACAAACTCTATATCTCAAAGCATTCAGGGTCTTTGCATGTGATAAAAGTCTTTTGACATGGTTTCGCTTTGCTGGTTTCGTGTAAATTAAATATATAGATACCTTTACTGAGCCTTAACCCTATAATGCCAAATGTGTCATATTTGATTTATACTGTTTCTGAAGTCTTTTGGATCTGAGACTTTCTGCATCATTCAGTGGTAAAAGCTTTGCTCAAACCCCTGTTGTACACATTCAGATATACCTGATAACAGCCAGTAGAAGACTACACCAACATATATTTTTGACTTATTGCACGCTAATTTGATCAAAATAATTTCTGTTTTTTTTCTTCATATGTTGTTGAGGGGCCAAAGAAAGACTTCAGACTAAAAAAAATCCAATATTCTTCCTATTTTTGTTGGATCAGGCTTTGAATTGTTAAACGGGCTATTTCTTCTCAGGCAGAGAGTGTAAGTCTGCTCCAGAATCCTCAGACTGGAGATATCTCTGCACACGTCTGTATTTGTTGGGGATAACAGCTCAATAGCTCATTGTTTTGTCATAAATCAGTGGATCTCTGATGCCCACCATGAAACCTGAGCCGTGTGACACTGCCAGCAAAAGGGATCCACCAGAAAGCTGACTTTCCCCTTCTTTTTAGGGATTTAAAAGCTATGTTTGTTTGTGGTTTGAATGGGGGCTCATAATGGATCTGATAGAATCGGGATTGTCAACACAAATGGTTTGGGCGTTCTGCGGGGCGGTTTGACAGAGGCTATTATGTCACCGGTCACCTCCCTCCACTCCGGGCTCGCCGGGGTTTGAATGGGCCTGAATTAATCATTTTGGTTTGAGAGGGATCAGCCAACTTAATACACTTTGTGTCAAGCAAGGTCTCCATCGGAAAAAAACCCGGCCTTCTTTACCTGGACACGTCTGTGCTCAGTACACCTGTCTGAGGTCACATTTCTGAAGGGATTATTCTAAAAAATAATAAGGGACATTCTTAAGAATATGTCCCAGACCTTTAACTTAATAGGCCCTTAGTGGCAAATAAGTCATTAATGACTTCCTAACCCTATAATGCCAAATGTGTCATATTTGATTCATACGGTTTCTGAAGTCTTTTGGATCTGAGACTTTCTGCATCATTCAGTGGTAAAAGCTTTGCTCAAACCCCTGTTGTACACATTCAGATATACCTGATAACAGCCAGTAGACTACACGGAAATACATTTTTGACTCATTGCACGCTAATTTGATCAAAATCATATCTGTTTTTTTTTCTTCATATGTTGTTGAGGGTCCAAAGAAAGACTTCAGACTAAATAAATCCAATATTCTTCCTATTTTTCTTGGATCAGGCTTTAAAGACCCATACATAGAAGTTTTTTTTCTTTTCTTACACAGCCCTATTCTCACACACAAAGGACTTAGAAATAAATAAAGAGGAATATTTTAACCATTGATGAGCTAGAATTAAGCTTCATACGGGCCAATAGATTAAATTTATCAATTAGAAATTCTACAGAAGAGTTTCATCATTGATCAGTGTGATATTTTTTAATGGAGCTGAGCAGCCAAAAAACAAATGCTCAAATCCTCTCAAATGGACACGTTGGCTTTGTATAAGCCCAGACAGAAGTATTTTTCAAATTTAAAACCCAGCCACCGTTTGTTTTCCGGGAAGCTAAATGGCCCGAGTCGAGCTCCGTAGCGTTATTGCTTTATCAACCACAATCAAAATGTGAATTAATCAAAGCCCTCCGCGTCGGGGCACCTATGCATGAGCATTGTTTGGCCGTAATGGATGGGTTTAAATTTTGACGTTATTATTTCCCGTCATTTCTGGAAACAAATTGAACATTTATTGCATATATATTAAAAATTATACAGTCGTCGAGAGGGGCTGATGTCTCTTTTATTGAGGCTCTGCGAGAGGTGAGGTCTCCCCGGATCAATTTCCCTGTCTTGTTACTCCCGCAAGAGGATGTTTGGAAAATGCCTGCACGGCTAAATTGATTCAGAAATGAATTCATAACTCGAGGCGTTTAAGCAATTTTGCGGTGCAGTTTGTTTTCCTTTTTCATACCCCCGATATTTTCTTTTTTATTCCATGTTTTGATTGCTTTAAGCATCCAAACTAAGTTTCGCCTCATTGTTGTCTTTGTCTCATGGTTTATTCTCAGTTCTGCTCCGGTTCGTACCAGACACGTTTGCCTATTTCTCATTCTTTGTGGAAAAAAATGCGTTTAATACACTGGGTTTTGGGTGGCTTCACAAACATAGCCATTAAGCGGTTACAATGCTTTTATTGTGCACTTGATCTGAAAATAGAGGCTGCATCCAGACCAAACTATGGAAAAGGCCTTTTCTTTGTCCGCCTGTACGGAGATGAATGGCCCGTGTCAACCGGATGATTAGTTTGCACTATTAAATTGTCAAAAAGGAAGGATTTTTCCCTA